CTGACCGTGGAGTTCTACTGCATGTTTTGGGACGTCCTCGGCCCAGATCTAGTCACCGTCTGGGCTGAGTCTCTGCAGAGCGGGGTCCTCCCTCTTTTGTGCAGGCGAGCTGTGCTCGCCTTACTGCCAAAGAAGGGGGACCTTCGCGATTTACGAAATTGGCATCCCGTCTCGCTCCTCAGCATGGACTACAAAATCGTAGCAAAAGCAATCCCGCTGTGGCTAGGGTCTGTGCTGGCGGACGTGATCCACCCAGACCAGACCTACACCGTCCCGGACCGCAGTATCTTTGATAACCTATTTCTGGTTCAGGACCTTTTGGAACTTGGGCATAGAGACAGTCTGTCGTTCGCCCTCCTGTCCCTGGATCAGGAGAAGGTGTTTGATAGGGTGGACCACGGGTACCTCCTGAACACTCTGCGAGCGTTTGGCTTTGGACCCCAGTTTGTGCGTTTTCTCCGGGTGCTGTACGCTTCCGCAGAGTGTCTGGTTAAGCTCAACAGGACCCTGACCGAACCGGTCAGCTTCGGGCGAGGAGTATGGCAGGGGTGCCCCCTCTTGGGCCAGTTGTATGCTCTGGCGATCCGCAGGAGGTTGACAGGGTTGGTGCTGCAGGAGCCAGAGCTGCGGCTGGTCCTGTTGGCGTACGCTGATGACGTGCTCCTCATGGTCCTGGACTCGGGCGACTTGGCGCGGGTGGAGGCTTGCTAGGCCATCTATTTGGCAGCCTCCTCTGCCCGGGTCAACTGGGTCAAGAGCTCTGGCTTGGTGGTAGGAGACTGGTGGCAGGTGAGCTCCCTCCCACCCGTGCTTCAGACCATCCGGTGGAGCGCGGGTCCACTGCTCTACCTCGGCGTTTACCTTTCTGCCACGCATCCCTCTCCGCCGGAGAACTGGGAAAATTTAGAGGGCGGGGTGATAGAGTGGCTCCGGAAATGGACGGGACTACTCCGATGTCTCTCCCTTCGTGGGAGTGTGCTGGTGCTTAATCAACTAGTCCTGTCCAAGCTCTGGTACCTGGTCCTGGCCCTGGGCTTCCTGACCAACCTCCGGACATCGATTCTGGGGTTCTTTTGGTCAGGAATGCACTGGGCCCCTGTAGGGGTTCTTCATCTACCCCTGAAGGAAGAAGGACAGGGCCTGAAGTGTCTGCACACTCAGGTCTGTGTCTTCCGCCTCCAGGCCCTACAGAGGCTCCTTTATTGTGCAGGCAGTTCGGCGTGGAGCATACCGGCGTGCGTCATCCTGCGCCGCATCCGAGGGCTCCGATATGACCGGCAGCTCTTTTATCTCTGTCCAGGAGGTCTTCCGCAAGACCTCTCCGGGCTGCCGGTCTTCTACCAGGACCTCCTCTGGACTTGGAAACGGTTTTTAACGACCAGGTCCGTGGCGGCCACCGAGTAGGCAGATCTCCTCGCGGAGCCCCTGCTACACAACCCCCAGCTCCGTGTGCAGGTGGCGGAGTCCCGCTCGGTGCGCCAGAGTTTGATCGTGGCAGAAGTCACGAGAGTCAGAGACCTCCTGGACTATGACCGGGGAGACTGGCTGGATTCCCTGACGCTCGCTCTGCGCATGGGGCTCTCCAAACCTCGTACCCCCCCGGTGCGTACTTCAGGAGGTGAAGGCCGCTTTGCCGCCCGCTGCTAGAACTTACCTCGATCGGGTCCTGCTCGAGGGCACGCCCCGCCCACCCTCTACCCCAGGCTCGCCAGACCTTTTAATTGGACCCCTGCCCCGTACACCCAATCGACCCCCTCACACCTTTACGGCGAGCCAGCTGCATGAACTGCAGCTGGTATGCTTCCAAACCGCACCAAGGAAACATCTATACACGCTCGTGCTCCACACCCTTCACGCTCTCACCCTAGTGTCCTGCCCCGACACAAAGTGGAGAGACCTTCTGCCACCTTTGGAGGGTGAGCAGCCCCGGTGGGCCAGCCTATATTCCACCTTGGTTCCGAGGCCCGTCAGGGACATCAGTTGGCGGCTTCTTCATGGAGCTGTGAGCAAGGGCACGTACTTGGCACGGTTCAACGCCATCCCAGATACTTGTCCCTTTTGCAGTTTGAGGGAAACCCTGGCGCACGTATATTTGGAGTGCGCCAGGCTGCAGCCCCTGTTCCGGCTCCTCACAAATCTTTTATTACATTTTTGGTTGCATTTTTCCCCTCACCTTTTTATTTATGCACTCCCCATCCGTGGCCTCACAAAGTCGTGGGATCTCCTAGTTAACCTCCTCCTGGCCCTGGCTAAAATGGTCATCTATAAAACCAGAGAGAGGAGGTTGGCCGATGGAGTTTCCTGTGACTGTGAGGCCGTTTTCCGATCCTCGGTTCGTTCATGTATCCGGGTGGAGTTCCTCTGGGCGGTGTCCACCGACTCCCTTGATGCTTTTGAGGAGCAGTGGGCGCTGTCCGAGGCTCTCTGCTCGGTGTCCCCGTCCGGCTCCCTTTGTTTTGACCCTTTGATTGGGGGAGAGAGTAAGGGCCCCAGCCATTGCTGCTGCAGACACCACCACCTTAGAGGGGTCCTTTCACACGTGGGTGCATGTGCCCCCCCCCGGGTTGTCCACCCCACAACCTGCCCCTTTTGTTGGGTGCTTTCAGAGGATGGAATTGTTGGTGACACTCGGGTGTGGCGCTAGGTAACTCAAGGGGGTGGCAGACCTTGAGAGTCGATGAAGCCCCCTCACTCTGGACCACCAGGTAACTCGGAAGGGTGGAAGACCACAAGAGTCGAGGAAGCCCCCTGCTCTGGGCCCAGGCAAGCTTGAACACTTCCCTCCCCTGAAGCTAATGAGAAAACAACTGTGATTGGTTGCTGTGTTACACATTGCATATGCTGTTGTTTTGTTTTGTAAGTGTGTTATGCAAATAAAAAAAAATCGCAAAAAAAAAATTACTCTCCTAGTGCCATCTATATCCATCTGGCTCGACCCTGTCACATGAGTATAAAGTGAATCAAGAGAATCCAATATCCCATAGGTCATGTTCTAATTAAAATCCTTTCCAGCTTCCAGACAGTCAGGATTGAAAGCCTCAGTTCCCATCGGTATCAAGGAGAGACCACAGATTAGCTACAAGCACCAAAGCCACTGGATCAATATATGTGACCTTTTCAGACCAGCTCAACTATATTTATAACACTCCAATGAAGCAGTGCTCTGTGAATTTAAAAATAAAAATGTCATTCCAAAGAGCTCCACAAGGTACAGAGCAGTTTCAGCTCCAGATGGACTTTTCCTGCCAATTGAATGAAAGCCTCTGCGGCAGCTTTGCAACTCATCAGAAGTGCTCTAAGAGAACAGAAATATGTCTTGCTCTGAAATATGTTCATGATGCCAACAAGCTGCAACATGTCATTTTTTTTATTGTAAAATATGATACCAGGTGCCACCAACGGATGCATTCTGAACCATCCTGAAGTCTTGTGTATATGCTTGAAACACAGCTTCGTCCTGGTTCTCAGTTGCATTAAAGACCCCTTTATACTACTTTGGCACCAAAAAGCAGCCTTAAATTGGGTGGAAAGAGCCCCTAGAGTATACCATTTGCACTGGGGGCATGACTGGCTGGTGTAGCACTGATATGAGGACCTTAAAATGACCCTGTTGGATCAGGGATTGGATCAGAGGCATGGTTGGCATGCACTGCACTATCAGTGGGATTTTCAAATGTACCTATGTGACTTTGAACACAAGTCCCACTGAAAGTCGCTGACACTTGTTCTCCTAAATCACACAAACACTTTTGCAAATCCTGACCTTCAGCTATTTTTTTTCTTCTCAGGGCCCATATGTGGCCATGTGAAGCAGAGTGAAACGAGAGTAGCCCTGAGCCACCTTAACCATGCCTCAGCTGCAGGCATGTATTAACTGAGAATTCGGCCAGTTGGGTCCACATTCAAAAGTGCTTTTAATGGTGCACAGTTGTTGCCAATACTTGTGCAATTGTGTTTGCTCAGAGAATGGCTTGCCACTGTTGTAGCCTGCCCCACGTCACTCTTGACCATTGCTGCGCTAGTGCCGGTAGAAAGCACTGGTATGGCAGCTGCACCACTGCCTTTGGCGTGTCTCCCAGCATACTTTTATGAGGCTCCTACAGCTCTTCATGCGCTTACCCTGTGCAGTATCTCCAGCGCTTCTGACTGCAATGTTATGCACAAAAGTTTTCTGTTTACAGGGTGCAATGCAGCAGACTCAAGATTTATTTTATTTAAAAAAAGTAAAGAATCTTTTAATGTAATACTGCTGTTGTTCAGTTTTAGATAGCTGCTATCTTACACACTGAATCATTATTTATACAGGCCACAATTAAAAACAACTTGGTATAGCAGCTCTCTAACCGTGGAGCTCTGCTTCCACAAACCCCATTTCACGGATCTGGGTGGGGAAGTCTGGGAATGCACTGGTACTGGAACAGCTAGAGGGAATTCTGTGTGCGATCACTGTAAATAGGTTTACGTTAACCAGATTACCCAGATTGTGGATACAAGGCACTAATACAAATTACAGGGGTACAACTCTGCTCTAACAAGGTTTTTGGGATTCTCATTCTTTAATGGTTCAGGCTGCATTTCCACATGCACATATTTATTTTTTTTTTAACTTTTCTTCTACTGTGGCTGGTAACCAAGGGAAACACATAAGAAACACCCCCCCTCCCATTGCACAGCTGTCTCTTGTGGAGCTGCCAGAAGGGGTATGGAGCATGTGTAAGTAATTGGCAATCAGTAGGGGAAATACCCATCCTGCACTGGGATAGCATTAGGCAGGATTGTAGCTTGTACCTCTGTGGAAGGCTTAGGTTAGTGAATAAAACTTCATGTGGCTGATTTTGAAAAAGAAAGACTGCCATAGATTCTAAGTGGATTGCAGAACTTCTGTGGGCTTGACAACTAGGGAGGCATCATTGGCTGGATAAGGAGCCATGTAAGTAAAAAATGAGTATATGATATTAGTGGTGTGTGATTTGAAGCACTATCATTTTCACTCCTCTTACCCTGTCTCTACTGGCTTGGTTGTAGTTTAGTCGCATGAGTTCTGCAAACCTCTGTTCATAAAGGTGAAGGAGCAGCACAAGGTAGAGACCTGAGTTCATTAGCTCACTTTGTGCCTGTGTGCAGAAGAGAGCCAATTTATTTACTGTTACTGTAACCCTGGTTTCTAAAGACCTTAAGGACTAGAACCAGTACACAGTTACTTCAGCCAGAGGCTATATTACCTCCTAAACTCATTTATTAACTCTGAACTATCTTCCTGGCTTGTATTTAATTTCTTAATTACTGTGAGTAGTGACTATCACATACAAAAGCCTAGCATAAGGTCTCTGCACTGACAAATGAGTGACCTGGCTTAGATTTCTGATCCAGTCTGTCAGACTCCAGGGCCAGTAGGGACTCCCAGCATTCCTAAAACACAACATACTAAGGACATAGAGTGGATGAGAGATCCAACACTGACCTTTGGCAGGCAATTAAAGGAGTAAAAGACTCTAAAGAGAGTCCTCTCTAAGGCTCACCCTTGGATTAGTAAATTCCAGAGGGGGGGGGCGCGCTAAGGTCAGAAGGGACCCTTATGATCATCTAGTCTGATCTCTGGTATAAAACCGACCATAGAATTTCATCTAGAATGTACCCTGCGATCACATAGGAAGGAAATGTAAAGAGGAAAAAATCAGTTGGGATCCATACAGGACAAAATAGGGAGAAAACAAATATAAATTAACTCCTTGGCACAAGTAATGGCAAATCTCAGCTAATAATTAACAAAAAGATAAAGCTATGCCATCTTAAACTGCTGTATATTTTGGCACATATCAAATACAATACAGATCATCAGGTCTAATAAGCAAATGAGGAGTGGGCCTTTCCATAATTAGATGGAAGTTCTCCAGGGAAAACCATAAGTGTGGAGAACTCAGCATATGGCACTCTTCCCTTTCAGTGCTACACCATGGAGTAGAGTATGCTATGCTGCTGGATGTTTCAGCTTTCTGATATGATTGAAATTTGAGGTCCTGACCATTTGTGGGCATTAATGATCTCACAGCACTTGTAGCCATCACAGGAGTGCTGACAACCCACTGTCTTGGCTGCACTCTGGGTAGGTAATTAATTCTGCCTCCCCAAAATCCCCCTCTGTAGCTGAATGTTATTAATTGTGAATCTAATCATTCTGCAGAACAAAACATAAGAATTATTTTGCCTGGCTTTTGACTATTTTTTTGTTTACATTTTATTCTCTGTAATTTAGTGCATCAAGCTGCCAATGGTGAAAAGAATCACTGAAATTAACAATAATAACAATTTCCCTCCAAATACACTTTTCATATTGCTAGCTCAGAATGGCAGCCATCTTTCCAGCTCAGAGATAATTACATGTCACTGCTGAAGCAGAGATTTTTTTTTTTAAATGATAAATTAAATTTTTTAATGGGGCACACTGAACACTAAATGAACCCTTGAAGTTACTGATAATAGTGCTGGATCTAAGCAGCATGTTCTTGATTAAGAATATTGTCTTAAAAATTAAGCATTCAGGTACAGTAGTCCCTGAGAGGCATAGCCTAAGCACAGGACCAGGAGACAGGTACTCATCAATGCTAATTGCTTCTCTGAACTTGAGCAAGTCACTTGGTCAAACTTTTTCAACAGTATCCTCTGTCAGTGCTACCACTATAATAAACCTAAGAGATGCTCATTAATCTGGAAACTACAACCTTCCTTAAACTACAACATTCATTTGCATGGCTTAGCACTTACAAAATCTCCTCAAATCATTTTTTTGGAAACTGTATCTTCATTGGTTCTTTTGGTGTTTTTGCTTGTTTGGGTTTTTTGTTCCATTCAGAGAGGGAATTATATTCCAAGCCATGATGTTCTACTCTGCTCTTTCAATGGGTATCTACAGACAATCTCATTCTAAGTGAACCTTTATATTCCTATACATTTTACAGCACAATGGCAAATCAATCAGCTAGAAAATAGCTTGGTGGTATCACTTCTGTCAAAGCATGCTGGGAAATCATTTACTTTTTTATAACTAAATAAGGCCTAGAGCAATGCAGATGGGGAAATATACACTGTTTACTGCAAATAATTTTGAGAAACACAGTCTGGTAGAAGTGGCTATCTTCTACAAATCAGTGGGAAAGACTCTGGCACACTGCAGTATTTATTTAGATTTCTATAAATGCTAAATAGCATATCTATCCATATGTTTTAGGTGCTTTTGGCATAACTAAAATACATCACAAATAATACTTAAAAGTGCATCAGTACAAACATATAAATCACAAACAGATATATAAATCACAACCAGCAAGCAAGACCTCCCACCAGCTTAATTCCCCTTATCTCTCCAACAATTACTCATCCTTACAATTCCATCCATTTTCAAATGCCTAGGAAAAGAGATGAGCTTTGCAGTATGCCCTTAAATATGAAATTTGATGTTTTGAATTGTCAAACTACCCAACATAGGTACAGCCTGTAATTCTGTAAAACACTTTAAAGTTTGAGAAAGGGTGTGTGTGCTTATCACTTTAATCTGTTTATGGTTCAGTGTGATTATTCCGGAGTGTAGAGACTCTGCTATTTGACATAGTGCTTGCTTTTACATATTTTGCCACTCCCTCACCAGCATGACCTACCCTGTCATTCCTGTCTCCCTTTATGAACAACATTTATTTTGTTTCTGAACAAGCTGACCCCCATCACCATCTTATAGTAAAGTATTAGAACTCCATGCTTGGGATAATTATCTTCTGGAAAATTAAGCAGATTACTCTTTTTGGCAGGCATAAAGCTAAAAAAACTATATTTATTGTGATGCTAGGTTTGTTTTCTTACAGCTCTCAATATCTGTGTCTTACCCCTGAATTTTTCTGTTTAAAATGAATTTATTCAACTTGTTTCACAAACAGCACTTTAATATTAATAATGGGATGATGTTCAATCCTTGAAATTAAAAAATCCACCTGAATCTTCTCCTTGTCTGTGTTTTTTAAATTGTAAGATGCTGAAGAGGACAACGAACCTTGGCTAGTCTTCCCCTCAACAGGCTTTCACGCTGCAATGTCATCTCTACCTAGCAAACAAGAATGTTATTCCCCATCTCCAAATGTAATTACAAACTTCCTTCACTCAAAGCCTCGTGATATTGGGCAGTTTTGTGAAATGAACTGCGATTATTATTTTCAGACTCTTATTACTCGGGCTTTTTTACATGTCTTTAAATCTGCGTAAAGAAAAATATCTCTTCCTTGCAGTTTAGCTGGCTTCAGTGTATGATGGCAGATCATTACACACCCACAGTACTGCAAGCCAGCAATACCAAAATAGGATTACAGGCCTTTATTTGGAAAGAGTCAGTTTCTTACCTGAGACTGTTGGTGATTTCTGTAATAGTCATTCACATCAAAATCATCCAGATCAGCTATCAGGCTCTGCTTACACAGTTCACAGGTTTTCACTGCCCCCAGCTCAGCACCTGAAATTAAATGAGGAATTAAATAGAGTGTTGAACTTATAAGTCCATATTGAGCACAGTGTCTCTGTATATTACAAAATCACTACTATATGGAACCTTTATTTTTAAGCCATTTTTTACTCAAGGTTGCCAGCTCTGAATCTAAATTCCATTGAACTCTATTCTAATCATGCCCATTATTATGTGAGCTTTGTATAATGGTTTTAAATACTAGCTGTATTGTCTATTACACTCCATGTGATGTATAACAGTTTACAAAACTGTAACTGATATGGGTTACAAATGCAGGAGTTATGAGATGCATACCTTGATCAGTATGGTTTATTTGACATAGAAAAGTAATATTTATGTACATTTGTTTCAAACAAATGGATATAAGTTCAATTAATGTAAGTGGCCATTCACAACATTTCAGGGCCAGATTTCCAAGATTTCCAGCACCCACAACTGGGACCAGATTTTCTGATGAGTTCAGTTCCCATTTAGGTTCCTAAATAAAAGCCAGATTCTCAAAAGTCCATTCTGAAACCACTCCCATTGTGACACTTTTGGCCAGACTTTCAAAATTGTTCAGGAACCAACATGCACCCAGTATGTTGAGATCTTTTGGAAATCTGGCTTTTCAGTCCAGTGCCTAACTGGAAGCTCAGCTTTTCTGAAAATCTGGCCCTAACTATATGGGCCTGGCCCATAGGGACCAACTCACTCAAGACTGACAGTATGATGTGAAATACTCTTTTCTCTTGCTTGTTATCTATAAATGTATGTTATACTGTAGAAAAATAAAAAATAAGAGTCCAAGATAGATTCCCCCCCCCCCCCCTTGTAAATTGAAGAGTCAACAGGCAGAGTTGAAAATGGTGAGTAAGGTCTAACTCAGAGGGTCAGTTTTCTTTCTGGCAGGCCATTTCATTAGAGGAATCTTTGTAACAAGCCCTCTCTCTTATCACCATTTGCTTCTCCAAGTCCTTAATTCCACAAAACACTAGAAGTCGGATTATAGTCCAGGAACCACATTTGAAAAACGACACCTCCAGATAACCAGTAAAACACTTCTATTTGTATTTATTTGTTTTGAAGTCTCCCGGAATTTTGCCACTGACTCCAGTGAAAACGAGACTGGACACTCTGGCTATTCTCTTTGACTGCATAGTGAGACCTCTACCTTCTGAAATGCAAATTCACTGAACTGGTGAGGATAGTGGTGAAAAAGAGAAAAGGTCCAGGAAAATGCCACATGAGTCTCAAGTAAAATATAACCATAACATCCACATATCAAGTCTCTGCGCTTACGGCCTGGTCAATACCAACCAAATAAAGGTCCAGTGTGCTGCCTAGTATTTTCACTGGATCATAGAATCATAGAATATCGGGGTTGGAAGGGACCTCAGGAGGTCATCTAGTCCAACCCCCTGCTCGAAGCAGGACCAGTCCCCAATTAAATCATCCCAGCCAGGGCTTTGTCAAGCCTGACCTTAAAAACCTCTAAGGAAGGAGATTCTACCACCTCCCTAGGTAATGCATTCCAGTGTTTCACCACCCTCCTAGTGAAAAAGGATGTCTTTCCTCCCCTTCCTGCCCAGCCCCCATCAACAAAGAAGGGAACAATCGGCTTCAGTTGCTTTCCACCATAAAAATGACACTGAGACACACCTCAATAAAGAGGAGGAAATTAATAAAATCCTTTAAAAAAACCTCAAGCAGATTTTCACCCCCAAATGAAAGAAACTCTAGAGACTCCATGAAATCCTCTTGAAACTTTGCTATTGCCATTGATTTTTTGTGTGTGGAAGGCAGTCAGATATTGTGGTGATGGGTGCCTGTATAAAACTCTAAGATAGAACAATGCATTCCAGTTGCTTTGGGGCCCACTGTATTATATTTAATATGTGGTTAGTATTGTTTAAAAGCATGTGTCCTTCTATAACTTTTCTTGGGCATTGAAAATAATCCAAGGTTATTACAGATACTCAGATCAGGGCCTTGCCCTAAAGACAAACACCTTTTTTTTTTTTCTTTTTTTTTTTAAATCCTTTGCTGACCAGAAGTCCCACTTCTGCCCATCCAAACACATAGCTAATCAAATGCCAAATGAATTTCCAGTATACTATCTGAACACTCTCTCCCCTTGCTAGTGTTCTTTCTCACTCTGGCTCCCAAGCTGGCTGGCTGAACTCTCCCTGAACCCAGGGCAGGATCTGGGGAAGATGAGGGAAGTAGCTCACTCCCCTGATCCTGGGGTCAGTCAAGAATTTGACCAAGGATTAAGAATCTGCATTTAACTGCTACATCCTGTGCTGATGAAGAATAAAACAAGGTTGGTGTGGGCTCCTGTCTTCTGAATCTAAGAAAAGAATTTGACACATATCTAAACAGTAAGTTCTCACAATACATTGAATTAAGTGATAACAATAAGCAAGTTTATCTCTGGAGGCTGAGATCTGAGTCTGTGACTCTTATATGACACTGACTCCTCTCCTTCATTGCTAGCTGCTAAATTGCACTAATAGGCAGCTAAAACACATACATGTATGCTCAATATTCCTTTTCCATGCAAGCAATGGCTTAATTGATGTGTGATTTCAAATGTAAGGGGGAGTGGTTCACAAGACAATCTTTGTATTAAAATATGGTCCATATTATGCAAAACTTTGCAAAACCCTGCTTTGCAATTCACATTTATAGCACTATAATGTTGTTGATCTTCATTCAGGACAGGAATAGAAATAGAATACCAGGAATGTTTCATTTTAGTATTAATATGTCAATACCAAGGTGGGGGATGAAGATCAGGGAAGCTTGCATAGCAATAATTTGCAGTGTACCTTTCTCTAGCTATCAGATATTTTCATGAGCACTAAAATTCATTCTATGCAGGTTCCTTCTCCCCCTACTTCAATATTTTTTAAAAACACATGTTTTTCTCACTTTATGGATTTGTCATTCAACATGCTCCCTTTTCTCCCCATTAATTAGTCTTACATGTGAAGTTTATGGATCCTACAAAATTTGTTGTTCACATGATGCTGCTAGTAATGTGTAAATCTCTCAGCCTTTGGTGTGTGTGTATATATATATAAATTGGCTTATTTTATATGGTAAACTCTGGAAATTTAGAATTTTAGTTCTGGCCATTGGTCAACAGATGAGCACAAGTCTAAGCAAGGCCATCAGATATTTGCGGTAATTTGACCTAATTTTTGCATTGTGGAAAAAGACTGAAATGTTGACAAACCTATGGGATAAATTCATCCCTGGTGCATAACGCCACTGATATTACCTGATATAGCTCCACTTATGTCAGGGAGTGATTCCAAAGGTGAATTTGGCCCTCATATCATGAGGTTTCTTAAACTAGTGACATGCTGTTGCACTTGTAGTACTCTCTTCTCACATTCCTACCTGATTTTATCTTAGCTTTCAGCCATGTTTTTAGACATTCCTGATGAACAAACTGTAGGGTTCCTACGCACCCACATGGTTCTACCAGTGGATTTGTTAAAGAGCCCCCAGCAATCTGACATATTCGGCATTGGTCTCCTTCCTCTTCTGAGTCTTCGGCCAGTAGACTAAAGACACAATAGAACAAATCAGAAATATTCTTTCACCAAACTCTACAGTCTAACATTAGAATTAATTTATACTTTAATTAACATGTTTTGGAGGGGGGGGGGTTAAAGAGGCTTCCCTAAACATCTTTCAATATATCTGTGATCTGAACAAATAATATCCAATAGGTTGCAATTACTATTCACTGTCAAACTTAAGATGTGCGGGGGGGGAGGAGGAAATCTTGTTGTTTCTAAATCCTCGGTTTTTTAAAAATTTTTGAATCCATGATTGACAGTGTACAGCTCAGAAACTACAGCCACTGTTTTTTATACAAGAACCACATTGTTTTGCTCTCAACCCCTGCAGAACCAGTTAGGGTGTGGTAGCTAATGCGTACTGCCTTATTTGCAAAGCTGTGATGTGTTGAAATCAAGGAAACAAATGGAATACAATTTTTTTTTTTAAGGGGAAATATATTTTAACTAGAAGGAAAAGGACCAAAACAGTGTATGGGGATGAGAGGATATTTTAATGACTCCCTAATTACAAACAATGGAGAAAAATGTGATTTTAATTTTTTTTAACTAAATTACAATCAACACTTCTTGCATGCATCAAAATGACCAGAAAGGATTCACGTTCAAGGACTAAAATTCTAAACAACAAAACAACTGAGAACTGGATTGATTTTAGTTAAACTTGGCAAACTCATCATAAACAGATTTTCTGAAGGTGAAAAAGCAACTCAAGAAATACCCCTGCTTTCCTTTTATGGTGATAAAACATGAGACCCTATAGAGTTATATACAGCATTTTAGACAGCTGTATAACTTTAGAAAACTGGACAGTCCTCAGGTATACATCCTTTGGTGATGATTGGACAGATTGAGACAGTAGGAGAAGCTTCTATCTCTAGGACTCCCACTTCCTTCCTAGCCTGCCCTTCCAACATGATTCATCTCCCTCTGCTACTAGTTTTCTAGCAATCCCCCGGGTTAAGAGCTTGCAGGGGGACAGAAGATGGTATTAGGAAGTCAAGCAAGCATATGAAAGTGGCAGTGCAGATATCTGGGGCTGTGTAGCAGAGTGGTCACCCTGCTCTGGCCCTGAAGGGGTTAAAACAGCCCTGGGGAGCCAACAGTAAACGCAGCCCTGGAGAGGGCTGGGAAAAGCTGAGTGAGTAGCTGACCACAGGTGCGGCCAGCTCAATCAGGGCCTTATAAGAGGGCTGTGGGCCAGAAGCAGAGGAGTCTCACTCTAGGCCTGGAATGGGAAGGGCTAGCTGCTTGGGGGCAAGGTACCTCGAGCCGAGCCGAGCCGAGCCGTGCCGTGCCGTGCCGTGCCGTGCCGTGCCGGGTAAAGGGAGCTGAGGTACTCCAACCCCAGGCTGAAGGCCTTGCTAAAGGCCAGGAAAGGTACTGGGTCTACAGAGGTATAGCCTGGGAATAGGCAGAGGCAGCTAGTCCTACGCCCCTTGCCAATGATGAGTGGCCATTATGGACTGCAGTCTGCCCCAGTGAGCAGGGGCTAGATAATGACTGGCAGTAGCCACTGAGGCAAGGTGGGTTTAGAGGTTGGAGGTTCCCCTGGGAGGGGAGACCTAGAGTGTGGGAGCATTGCCAGGGGGCAGGACACCAAGGTAAAGGGGCACCGCTGTCTGGGAGGGACACGGATGCCAGCAGCAGGCGAGACACCGGCCTGCAGAGGGTGCTCTGAAGGCTGGAAAAAGCTAATTCCTGAGACAACCAGCAGGAGGTGCTGCACCAGTGAATCTTCGCTTCGCCACAGGCCGGTAGCTGTAAGGAAGTGGGTGAAAAAGCCAGAGTCTGTTACAGCCTAGTTGGTGGGTGAGGTTTTTTGGAAAGGGGGTGGGGAATTAAGAAGTGGACATGTTCGGCTAAGTATTCTAAGGGTTAACACCTTTTGAAATAAAGCATCTTTGTTCTTCTACGTGTCCAGTTTACATTCTGGTACTACTGTATGACTCAGAGCTATGTCACTTCTGTTAAGTGCAAAAACTGAATATGTGGCCAGTTGGTTTATGTTCTGGGGGAGTAGAAAGATGGGATGGAGAGGCACATTTTCATGAAAACATCTTTGTTCTTAATTGTTGAAACGACTGCTTGAGAAAAAGAGCAGCTTGCTGATTACAGTCAGCAGCAGGAAACCCAGAGTTGACCAATATGCCTATATCAGAAAGTCTTTTCAGCCAAGGAAATTACAGTTTTAGGGAAGAAAGTGGAGAAACTGGGTCAGCTAACAAGTTTTTAGAACAGACAATCCTCTTAACTTCCTTAGCATCTGTATGGATGGCTTCTTTTTATCTATATTCCTTCCATAACCAAAAACTTGGTCTAAAAGAGATTAAGGATGGCTATGATACCCTAAAAACCAAGAAAATAATAAGCTTAGCCACCTCTTAACTGTATCCTAATGCCCACACAGCACACTTCCACTGACAGTGACAGACTCCAGATCATCCAAAGGAATTTACTTCTGCCTTCAACTGATAAAGAAACATACAGCAAAGAACACATTCATCTCCTCCACAGTATTACACAAACCTTAATTACAACCTCAGCAACATTAGCAAATATTCCAGGTTGACACAAGGTAAGTGTCGTGTGTCAGTGGGAGAAGCATCAGGATACAATCTATTTTGTAGTAGTGAAATGGCAGTTCTCTTCAACAGCCTGTGTTCCATTGGAAACAATAAGGACGGCCATTTTTACTAGTGGCGCATATGTGTGCATGCGCACACGCGCCCTACTAAAACTAAAAGCAGCTTCAGTGTCACTGTAAGTTATGAAAACTGGCAAGCATTTGAGTAAGGGAAATTGTAACTATAATGGGCAATATGTGGGGGGTGGGAAGGGGTTACGACCTAATTCTTCACCTGTGCACACAAAGGTAGCTGGCAATGAGTTTTAACGATATGGAAATTTTGAAAGATTATAAAATCCAGCCATTTGTTACCAAAGGGGATCCAAAAGGTCAAACACTGGGCAACCTTAATATAAACAAATACAAATATAATATTGAATTCCACGGAGCTCTCCATTTAACTATAGAACTGCGTGTTAATGTGAAATCATGGATGTGTGACCTGTAGAATTACACTGTTACGAGTTAAGCTAAGCCTCATTAAAATTGGGGTATGCAACTGCCATCCTTCATTTAAGATTGCTGTAAGAAATAGTCAGATCCTTTTATGAAACAATAAGTCTCAACCGCAAACAGAAGTGCATGTCACTGCCCAAAACACATGCACATGTGAGGTTGCTCGGGAATTTGAACTAACTGGGTGGAGGGGGGCTTCCCAGGGACTGTTTTAGTAGAGTGGTGTGTATGTATGAGAGAGAGAGAGGCAGGAGAAACTCCAGGGAAGAGGAAGAAAGCCAGGTGTTGCCTGAACAAGCACAGAGTATGGCCCTGAGAAAAACCTATTGAAAGAGCTTTTAGGCTGAATGGGCTTAGAGCTATGAGCAAAGAAAATATCGCCAGTTGTTTGTTTTTCCTTCTGTGTTCAGGGAAACAGGACTTGGATGTTCTTTGGAAATAAAAAGGATTGCTTCAAAGGTACCTGCCTCCATCATCAATTTCTCCTCCCAATGGAAACAACCCACAGGGCCTCAAACTTTGGCTAATTGCTCATGTCAAAAGGGTAATAATATGTATTTCTCACCTCTCCTGCAGTTTCTTAAGCTTCTCTGGGTCTGCATGTTTGTTTGTTTCCTTTGCACTTGTGGTATCACATGCTGTCATGCTGCTCATAGCACTACTTTGATTTTGTAAATCAGACACTGCCAGCAAAGCAAGTGGTAATTGATCATGTAATGTGCCAGCCATGTGAAGGTGGGCTGTGAAATCTGTTTGAAACAAAGATGGGTTGGAAGAATCTATAGATAAAAAAGAACTATGTGAATTTAATAAGTTCTCTTCATCATGTAAGGCAGCATTTGGAGATGCACTCTTTAAACCATTATCTATACTATCATCCAGTAGGCTATTATCTTCAGGTGTACTGACTATAGGGGATGAAGATTCATAACTTTCTGCAGCAGAAAAAGAATCTCTACTTCTTATAGGAGACAAGGGTCTACGAACATTAAACCTTGAACTTCCATCCAAATCCAATACTTGAGATGATACAGTTGTCAAGCTCAAATCTGTTGAGACTTCAGCTCTAGGTGCAGATTGTATTAATGATCTTGGAGCATTATATGCAGAATACAATAATCGTCTATGAACTGTTGACCTTGCAGAAGTAAGGAGATCAGTATAATGCCTCTGATTGCTTTCACAGGCTTGCAATTCTCTGTTATAAATATTGACACTAGGCCTATCTATAGAGCTAATGTTATTAAGAGTCTCAGCAATAGGAGCGCTGCCTGGTCTGCTTTCAGCTCGTGAGCTTCTTGAGCTAAATAATGGAGTTTCATTTTCATTTTTATTGCAATCAGCACCTTCAGAAGAATTCCCATCTGGAGTGTAAGACTTTCCATAGTCACTAGAGTTTCTTCGCCTTAATGAAGACTGTTCAACAGCTGTGTCCATTACATTGTGTTGTCTTAATGGTCCATGAGAAGATTCAACTCTTCTCGATGAAATGCTTCTATCGTATCCAGCTTCTTCAGAGTTACATTGTTCATCTTCTGCCAAGGATGTTCCACTAAATTTGCTAATTTGTCCTAGAGGAGTAGGAGAGTGATTTAGATTGAAAGAAAGGAATTCTTTCTCTAATATATCCTCTTTAGTATCATTTTCTTCATAGGAATCTTCCATGTTTAAGCAACGCATAGAATAAAAGTTTTCATCTCTAAACCTCAAAGGGGCCATTTTAGTGGGTATAAGAGATGGACCATGTGACTCATTTGAGACAAAGGAACCATGAGCTCCCTGTAAGATAGATGCACATGATAGAGTTGGAGACTGCTGAGCCTGTGGAAGAATACTTCCTGTTTTGCTATCTTTGGCTAGATCTTTACGATCAAGATTTAGCTTAGAGGAATGGATTAAATTCCTTCTCTCTTGAGATCTCTTCTTGTTCGTGAGCGTAGTTTCATTTGTCACTCCGAGATCTGCAGTGAAAACAAAATCAACTTTCAGCATTTGATCCTTTTTGTTTCTAGTGCCTAACACATGCTCTAAATGGCGATTTCTTACTACTGCTGTTCTGGTATTGATGTTATGACCTATTCAGTTATAGGTAACTGCAGTTCTAGTGCACTTTAACACAATTAGTAGACTTTATTCATAAACTCTTCTAGGGTTCGGACAAGAAGTCAATATTACTTTGCTATCTGGATGCCTGTAAGACCCCACATAAAGGAAATGCATAAATCATGCTAAATGGTGCACTAGCACTTCCAGAGGTTCAATTAACACGTCTCCTTCCGAGCACAAATCTTATCCCACCTCCTACTTGCATTCAATGTGTAGCTCCAGAAGGAACTGCCCTTTTGTGATCAACAGAAATTATCACAATGTTTTTAGATTTTTTTTTCTGTTCAAAATTTGTAGTAATACTTATTATTTGCAAATAGCATCATAGCACCTCTGTCTCAGGCTTTCAAAGCTCTTCACAAACTGAGTAGGTATTATCCATGTTTTACAAATGGAAAAAGTGATACAGAGATGAAATGACATGCTGAAAGTCATACAGCTTATCAGCAGTAGATATGCAAACAGATTCTCTGTCACCCATTCTAACCACCAAATAATACTCCTTCCCACGTGATTTGTACTGTTGGTAAAAGGGGTCAGAATAACATCCCTGAAATCCTCTGTGCTCATTAGTGACTGTATCCTAGAGGATCACCCACCTGTAGGGAGTTAAGAATAGTTCATTCTCCAAGACCCATCTAATTCTTGGTTGCTAAGTGCAACATAAAATGCCAGTTGTGGTCATAGCAATTGTTTCTAACATGGATGTCTAGAAACAGGACTGAGACATGCTGATTTCACAAAGACCACTGAACAGCAATCAATCACTTTTAGTCACCATTAATCTAGCATGAATGAGAATCAAGGACCAAGACCTGAAAAAGATGTCTGATATAGCCTGTCCTCCATTGCAGTATCCAAAAGAGCCAATTTAGTTTCTCTAGAAGAGGGCAGTCATAGGGGGAAGGCATCCTTTGTCAAAACTTTCCAAGTATGAATAAAAAGTGAGTAAGAAAATGGAACTAGTTCCTGTGTGTATTCTAACATCTTCTCACATTACATGAGTGTGTTAGGGAATGAGCAAAGAACCGCTATTAAAGGCACTGTCTAATAAAAGTGCATACGCTTATCACTGCTTCCTCTCTCTAAATTACAAGCAACTTCTTCCTGAGAAGTGCTCCTACAATTCCCACTGCCTTCAACAGGAGAACACAGATGCATCCAAGGCATCTGTGGTTTTTATCTATGACCATATGCTTTTTATTTCTTTTATCACAGCACACAGTATGGACTCAGGGAGACCAATTGCTTTTAGAGGAGGGAAAACAGATTGTGTTCACCTCAGACTTTTCACAGATCACCAGATTCATAGATCTTAAGGGCAGAAGGGACCATTATGATCATCTAGTCTGACCTACTGCACAATGCAGGCCACAGAATCTCACCCAACCACTCCTGCAATAAACCTCTCACCTACATCTGAGCTATTGAAGTCCTCAAATCATGGTTTAAAGACTTCAAGGTGCAGAGAATCCTCTAGTAAGTGATCCATGCCCCATACTGCAGAGGAAGGCGAAAAACCCCCAGGGCATCTTCCAATCTGCCCTGCAGGAAAATTCCTTCCCAACCCCAAATATGGTGATCAGCTGAACCCTGAGCATGTGGGCAAGATTCACCAGCCAGATACCCAGGAAAGAATTCTCTGTAGTAACTCAGATCCCACCCCATCTAACATCCCATCACAGGCCATTGGGCCTATTTACCATGAATAGTTAAAGATCAAAATCACATTATACCATCTCCTCCATAAACTTATCAAGTTTAATCTTGAAGCCAGATAGGTCTTTTGCCCCCACTGCTTCCCTTGGAAGGCTATTCCAGAATTTCACTCCTCTGATGGTTAGAAACCTTCATCTAATTTCAAGTTTAAACTTCCCGATGGCCAGTTTATATCCATTTGTTCTTGTGTCCACATTGGTACTGAGCTTAAATAATTCCTCTCCCTCTCTGGTATTTATCCCTCTGATATATTTATAGAGAGCAGTCCTCTCTCCCCATAGCCTTCTTTTGGTTAGGTTAAACAAGCCAAGCTCCTTGAGTCTCCTTTCATAAGACAGCTTTTCCATTCCTCGGATCATCCTAGTAGCCTTTCTCTGTACCTGTTCCAGTTTGAATTCATCCTTCTTAAACATGGGAGACCAGAACACAGTATTCCAGGTGAGGTCTCACCAGTGCCTTGTATAATGGTACTAACACCTCCTTATCTCTACTGGAAATACCTCGCCTGATGCATCCCAAGACCGCATTAGCTTTTTTCACAGCCATATCACATTGGCAGCTCATAGTCATCCTGTGGTCAATCAATACTCCAAGGTCCTTCTCCTCCTCCGTTACTTCTAATTGATGCATCCCCAACTTATAACTAAAATTCTTTTTATTAATCCCTGTCAGGGTTCCTTCCCCACTCTGAACTCCAGGGTACAGATGTGGGGACCCACATGAAAGACCCCCAAAGCTTATTCTAACCAGTTTAGGTTAAAAACTTCCCCAAGGTACAAACTTTGCCTTGGCCTTGAACAGTATGCTGCCACCACCAAGTGTTTTAAACAAAGAACAGGGAAAGGGATCACTTGGAGACGTCTTTTCCCCAAAATATCCCCGCAAGCCCTATACCTCCGTTCCTGGGGAAGTCTTGATAATAATAATCCTCACCAATCTGTACAGGTGAACACAGACCCAAACCCTTGGATCTTAAGAACAATGAAAAAGCAATCAGGTTCTTAAAGAAAAGGTAAAAGAATCACCTCTGTAAAATCAGGGTGGAAAATCTAGAGTATTCACATTCAAAACACAGAGGATCCCCCTCTGGGCAAAACCTTAACGATACAGAAAATGGGAATAAACCTCCCTCTTAACACAGGGAAAATTCACATAAACTAATCTACTTTGCCTGGCTTACCTATACAGTTCCAAAATTGGAGACTTGGATTAGGATGGGTTGGAGAAGATGGATTTCTGTCTGGCCTCTCTCAGTCCCAAGAGAGTACAAAAGGTAAACAAACAGCACAAACAAAAGCCTTTCTCCCCCTGCCAAGATTTGAAAGTATCTTGTTCCCTTATTGGTCCTTTGGGTCAGGTGCCAGCCAGGTTAACTGAGCTTCTTAACCCTTTACAGGTAACAGGATGTTGCCTCTGGTGAGGAGGGATTTTATAGTACTGTATACAGAAAGGTGGTTAACCTTTCCTTTATATTTATGACATGCCCCCCAAATCACAGATAGGGTGAAACACTGGCTGTGATTTCTTCCTGGAGCTCTAGGAGAAAACAGTTAAGACACATGCATCTCTAAATATACTACTAACTGTATAAAGACTAACAATATTTCCCACATCTTAAGGACGATTTGGACCAGTTGATTTGGGAAACTTTCATGGGAGAGTGCATCAGCCACTTTGTTAGAACCTCCTGAAATGTGTTGTATGTTGAAATCAAAATCTTGGAGAGCTAAACTCCACCAAATAAGTTTTTCGCTATTTCCCTTGGCGGTATGAAGCCACTGTAGCGCGCATGGTCGATTTCCAGGTGGAAACGCCGTCCCCAAACGTATGGGCGTAGCTTTTCCAGAGCGTAGACAATGGCGTAACATTGCTTTTCACTGACTGACCAGTGGCTTTCCCTCTCAGACAGCTTCTTGCTGAGAGACACAACAGGATGAAACTCTGCTCCCACACCACGCTCGGATGCATCTGTGGCTACTAGGAATGGTTTGTCAAAGTCTGGAGCCCCTAGCACAGGGTCAGACATGAGTGTTGCTTTAAGCTGGTTAAATGCCTTCTGACGCTCTTTGGTCCACTGAACTGCATTTGGCTGTTTCTTTTTGGTTAGGTCTGTCAGTGGGGCAGCGATTTGGCTGTATTGCGGTACAAATCGCCTGTAATATCCGGCCAAGCCTAAGAAGGATTGGACCTGTTTCTTTGACTTTGGGACAGGCCACTTTTGGATAGCATCCACTTTGGCCTGTAGGGGGTTGATAGTTCCTTGACCCACCTGGTGTCCAAGGTAAGTCACTCTGTTTAGGCCTATTTGACACTTCTTAGCCTTAACAGTTAGTCCTGCCTCCCTTATGCGCTCAAGGACTTTTGTAGATGTTCCAGATGTTCTGCCCAGCAATCCGAAAATATGGCCACATCTTCAAGGTAGGCGACTGTAGATGGTCTCCCAGTGGGATTGGGAGAATATGCAAGTTTTTGCATATTTTGGAAGGTGGCGGGTGCATTCCGCAGCCTGAAAGGGAGCACATTAAATTCATACAGCCCGACCTGTGTGATGAAGGCTGACCTTTCCTTAGCGGATTCATCTAGCGGATTCATCTGCCAGTACCCCTTGGTTGAGTCCAAGGTAGAGATGAACTGGGCCCGTCCCAGTTTCTCTAATAGTTCATCTGTGCGTGGCATTGGATAGTTGTCTGGGTGAGTTACAGCATTTAGCTTACGGTAGTCCACGCAAACACGTATCTCCCCATCTAGTTTGGGAACTAGAATCACTGGAGATATCCATGCACTGTGGGAGGGGCGGATTACACCCATTTGTAACATATCCTGGATCTCCCGTTCTGTAGCAGTTTTAGCTTGAGGAGACACCCGGTAAGGTTGGGCTCTAATTGGGTGAGCATTACCTGTGTCAATGGAGTGGTATGCCCGTTCAGTCAGTCCTGGGGTGGCTGCGAATGTCGGCGTGTAGGTAGTGCACAGCTCCTGGATCTGCTGTCGCTGCATATGCCCAAGGGTCATGGAGAGGTTCACCTCTTCCATGCCACCAGCACTTTTCCCTTCATAGTAGACACCTTCAGGCCACTCAGTGTCATCTCCTCCCTGGGCTGTAAACTGACAAACCTTTAATTCTCTGGAATAAAAG